CCGGCTCCCGCCGCTCCCGGCGCTCCGAGCGCGGGCCTGGGGACTCGGGATCCCGCCGCCGGGGCCGCAGCATGGGGCGCTTCCGCGGGGGCCTGCGGTGCATCAAGTACCTGCTGCTCGGCTTCAACCTGCTCTTCTGGGTGAGACCCGGAGCCGGGCAGGCCGGGCAGGGGAGGGGCCGGGCGGGGGCGCGGGGCCGGGGTCCCCGTGGAGCTGGCCGCTGCGGCGTCCGAGCCGGTCTCCAGAAGGCTGGGTGTTCAAAAAGGCGGAGGTGAGGAAGAGGCAGACAAAGAGGGAGGGGAGAGATAGCGGAAGGGATGGAGCGAGGGGAGCGCAGAGGGAGGGAGAGATTGAGCAACAAGAAACGGTGAGAAGGGGGGACACCTTGTGGCTCTTCCCTTTGAGGAACCTCCGCCTCAGCTGGTGACTCCAGGTGCGGGGACACCAACCCCTCCTCACCTCACCTCCTGAGGAGTCGCCCCCCCTTTGCCTCCGGGGCACTCACCCCTTGTCGCTCTGCCTCTCCACTGCAGCCGGGGCCTGGCCAGGGCGCTGGGAGAGAAACCCCTGTGCCCGAGCGGGGGCTGCCAGGGGTGGTGCCCCAAACGGCGTGTGTGGAGACACCACCTGGCGGTGATGGTTTTGTTTAAGGAAATTGGGGGTAGGAGTGAAAATGGCATTGGGGGGGCAGGTGTCGTCCTTATTCTGGGTATCAGAGGAGGGTACCTGGCTGCGAGGAGGTGGTGGTGCTCTTCCGTGAAGCGGATGGACGGCAGAGAGGGGCTTCCAAAGAGCAGCAACATCTCCCCACGGCCCCTAGCCCACAGCCTCCGCTAAATACCACAGATGATCTCATTCAACTTTGCATGGAACAAACATTCCCCGGATTAGTGGTTCACAGAGAGATAGGGGGCCATGCCCCTTGTCTCCTATATTATTGGGACAAGGTTAGGGCCAGACCATCCCTAGATCTCTGGATACCCTGTCTCAGGCCCTGGAGGACTGTAAGACAAGGTCTAAAAATTATCTTGTCTGCACATTCCTCTTGGGCTTTCTCAAGAAACTGTCAGTCAGTATAACAGCTCAGTTAGACCCTGGGGGAAAATATAAATCTTGTGTTGGGTGAACAGGTTCCTAAGGCTAGTGGGGAGCAGCAGTGGCCTGGGTGCTTTGAAACAACCAGGAGAGAGGAGGATGGTGATTGTCCTATCTGCTCCAGGGAGTTTGTCTTCCCATGACTGCAACTAATTAATTATTGAATGATGGGCTCTGCTTGCATCTGCCAACCCATTAGCCCAGATGCCTGGGTGACTCCAGCAACCCTAACCTCTCAAAAGACAACTTGCCATGCTCAGCATCCTTCAGCAAGGGAAGGTGTGAAGGAGGCGCCCCAGTGACGGCCCCTGAATTTTAAAAACACATATGGTTTTTTAACACCAGGCATTTATACTTAGCATACTACAGGGACATTTCTAAAGGTCCTTTATGTTGTGCTTTTTAATAGTCTGGCTTAATTTTAAGAGCTGTTAATTATAGATGTCATGCTTCGGTGACACCATTCGCTCTCACTGCTTACAAATTCAAAACAAGTTTTCTATCAACCCCAGAAGGACTTCTCAGTGCTTATTTAGTGCCTGGTGTTGTACCAGCCTTTCCAGGGGTCATGGGAAGCATTTATTGAACGTTTTCAGTGTGTCAGGGACAGTGCTAAGCACATTGCATTCGTTACTACACTTAATCCTCGCAACAATGCTCATGTATATAATATTGTTATCCCCATTTTTACACATGAGGAAACAGAGGCTCACGTAGGCTGACTTGCCCAAAGTCACATAGCTAATGTGTGGCAGAGGTGGGACTCAGACTCAGCCTCTGTGGTCCTAAGCACTGTGGCACATTACACTCCTAAGCGGTGGTTCTCGGAGGGTGGTTCCTGGACAAGCAGCATCAGCATCTCCTGGGTACTTGTCAGAAATACACATTCGCAGCTCCATTCTAGGCCAGCTGAGGCAGGAACTCTGGGGGAGGGACCCATAATCTATGTTAGCAAGCCCCCCAGGTAATTCTGATGCTTGCTCAAGTTTGAGAACCGCTGTTAAACAATTATTAATATTATAAAGATAATTTATAATATGTAAATATAAAATGCTGTTCCCTAAGCTGCTAATGTTGTTAAGGAAATAAGTCCAGGGCATATAGAACAACAACAAGTTAATAAGTATATAATCAAGTGACAAATGTCACACTTCTGGCCATAAGCCTAGTAAAGAGGGGAAGTAGGAACAAAAGCGATGTTTGAGTGTCTGCCATGTGTTAGCCACTGGGGTTAGACATGACCTTTTATATATATGATCTAATTAAGGAGTTCAGAGAACGATGGGGCACCTCTGTGGCTCAGTCAATTAAGCGTCTGACTCTTGATTTTGGACTCAGGTCATGGTCTCAGAGTGGTGAGATCCAGCCCCACATCGGGCTCAGCGCTCAGCACTCAGCAAGGAGTCTGCTTGAGATTTTCCCTCCCTCCCTCTCTGACCCTCCCCCTTGCTCTCTCTCTCTCTTCCTCTCTCTGGAATAAATAAATCTTTAAAAGAAAGGAGTTCAGAGAAAGGATCACAGCAACAGTGAAGAGTCAGGACAGTTGTCCTGAAAAATAGGGTGTTTAAGCTGGACCTCAGAGGACTGGTAGAATGAAGGTGGGCGAGGCAAGGGGGGTGACAGGCCACCCGCCAGCAGAGGAACAGCGCAAGGCTGAGTGCGACTACCATCTGACAAAGGGGTCAGGCTTGAGTGCAGAGATCCCAAGCAGGGTGTGCTTGAGTAAGTTACTCTTACTTCTAGGTGTCTGTTTGCTCATCTATACAATTGGGATAACAGGGTTGTCAGGAAAATTAAAATGAAATATATAAAGAGCCTGACCTCATCTTCTTATGAATCTAGTACATAGAAGGTGCTCAAAAAAACATTGTTATTAGTGCCTGCACATAGGAGCATTCAATAAAAGTTAACTCTCTTTCCCAAGTCCCTTAATTTGGGGGAATCGCATCTATGTTTGCAAAGTGACTTGCAGCTTGTCTGTTTTAGGATGACTACACATTATCCTCTCAATTTGTACTTGTGAATTTTCCCCACTAGAACTTGGAATACTTTGAGAGGAGGCTTTTTTTTTTTTTTTTTCTGTTATGCTCACAATTATATCTCCAGTGCCTAGAACAGAGCCCGGCATGCAGGATGCATTCAGTAAATATCTGTAGAATGAATGAATGGATCTGCAGGTTAGAGCACTTGGTACAAATGGCCTTCCCAGTTTGCACAGATGATAATCAATGATCTGAGGACTGATCCTACCTCTTCCTGTGCATTAGCTGTTGATTTGTTCCTTGTTTGCACAGACTGAGCCCAGGAGGGGGGTATGGGGCCTTCCTCTCTCCCAACTCCACGGGAGGGTGGGGACCGAGGGTGTCTGAACGGTAGCAGTTACAGGAGGACTTCCCAAGTCTTAGACCTGCACCACCATAGGGAAAGGGCCAACTGAAACTAGTACATAATGCTTTAGGGGAAGGTGATTATTGGGGATAAATTATCTAGATATCTGCCTTCACCATAACTGAGGGAACCTGATTCCAGAAAAGCCCCACCCTAGTTTCTGAAGTTGTTTTTCCTGGTTGGAGGGGTTCGTGGGAAGTTTGGGGAAGGGGCAGAAGGTGGGGGCTGGTTTTCCTAGAAGGCTAGGCTTTCGCTGTGACTTCAAGTGTCTTATTCACTCACCCCTTCGCATGCTCGGGTGCCTGCCCTTGTGAGATATAAGGTCCCCCTCAGTGACCGCACTCTTTTTCCTATCAGGAACTCACCAGAAAGCAGGCAAGGAGGTGGGGGTGGGTGTGTTCTGTGATCTGCAATTTGTCCCCTTGGGTGACCACACTCTCTTTCCTATCAGGAATTCACCAGAAGGCAGGCAAGGAGGTGGGGGCGGGTGTGTTCTGTGATCTGCAATTTGACATATCAATTTGCAGCCTCCTCTGGCAGCTTGGTTTCTGTAAGTTTCCCTAGGCTGTGCTCCTGATCTTATAAACATTCAGCTAGATCCTGCCAGAGCTAGCACAGCATTGCCTGGCCCAGGGCCGCTGACTGTATTCAGCACTACATTTTTAAAAACAAAAGTAAAGCCTGGCCATGAACCCCACTAAATTCATTTCTGTTATCATGGTTGATGTCTAACCTAGAACCCCTCCCAACATCGGTCATGTCTAAATTCGGATGCTATAATCAGATAGCACAGCAGATGCCCATGCCTCTCACTGGAATCACCTTTATTTTTTTTTCCTCCGTTGCATAGCAATATAAATAAAACACCACAGTCCACCAAGCCGCATATGTCGGTTTAAAGAAAAACCTGGGCGCTGTTTATTCCTTGCTTTATTGTTGTACGCTCAGTGTTTTCCTATCATTGTGCTGTACTGAGCAAGTCAGTGTTAGCGACCGACAGGAAGCGGGACTCTTCATTGTGGAAAGTCACAAGCTGTATATGGCTTGTCTGAACTTGCTTTCCTTTCCTTCCCCCCCTGCCTTCGTGCAGCTTTGGGGGTTCAGTCAGTGATGCCTAACAGGGGCCGTTAGGAAAGATCGTGTCCCACGAGCCTGGGAGTGAAAGGTGTTTGATGCGGCTTACCCAGGCTGCCTCCTCCTCTTTCTCAAACTTATTTCAGACAGTAATTTCAGAGCTACCACCTGTCAGGAACACTGGTTTAAAAAAAAATACCGGGCGCCTGGGTGGCTCAGATGGTTGGGCATCTGCCTTCGGCTCAGGTCATGATCTCGGGGTCCTGGGATCGAGTCCCGCATCGGGCTCCCTGCTCAGTGCAGAGCCTGCTTCTCCCTCTCCCTCTGCCACTCCCTCTGCTTGTGCTCTTCTGTCTATCTCTCTGTCAAATAAATAAATAAAATCTTTAAAAAATAAATAAATAAAAATAAAAAAATACCTGAAGAAAGTATTCTTTGGGGTCCACCCAAAAAGCTAGACCACCCCAGAAGGCAGATAGGAATTTCCTTGGTCTTCTTGTAGGATAGTCTTCATTTCTGATTTCTGTCAAGGCGGGAAGACAGCAGGAGAGGCCAGCCTCCCCTAACGTGGACGAGGGGACCC